AATCTGCACGCATGCACATATACAACTACTTACCACATAAAGTCACATCCTCCATTTTCAGAGGAGTTCCGTGAGTTCTGGTATTACTACGTGTATGCAAACACACCAACAGTTAGTATATGATCACTAGGTTGTGTTGGGCTCGGCAGCGCCGTTTCAGCACTCAGCTCCTCATAACTGTATGTGTTAGACACTGCCAGGCCTCGAAGAGAATTTTGAGTAAAGCATATATAATCCAGCGTACCTAAAAATGTCACGTGCCGGGATCGAACCGGGGACCTTTCGATTACCCTGAAACTTCTGCGTGTAATTCGTATAAGTAGCTTCACTATTAACTACAGCCGGATATATCGAACGCAATGGCAATGAGTGGTGCATCTGGTTTACCGGTGGAAGTATACCATAAGGGTCATCCTGGAAAAATAATAAAAACAAAAAAATAGAAATAAAAAATATAATTTTTCTATGGCCTACCGGTATTGAGGAGGGGCTCAGCCGACCAGTCGTGAGGAGTTCATAAACCGCCGATTCCGGTGTTGAATTAAAATCACCACACACGATGACCGGTAGCACTCCATTTTGGCTGTTACTCCAGCCCTGTACAACTTCTAAAGAGGAATCCAAAGGTCCCCGGTTCGAATCCCTCCGACGCCATTTTTAATACTCACCCAGCATGCACATAGCCTGCCACAATTTAACATCCCCGGCGTCAACATCTGCAGTAATATGCGTATTAACAATTCCCAGAGGTCTGCCCCCACACCTGACCAAAGATTCATTTCGTGCCCGCGTGACATGATACAAAACAGGCCCAAAACTTACCGCGAATCTTCCAACAAGCACGCTAAGGCAACATTCCCTTTACTCAATCTATTCCGTTGCTTCGTATTTCGCGCGCCCTGATATCTTGCGCTGTCCTTAGCATGGGCGTCAAATTCAATGGTGAATGAATCCACGACAGAAAATCTACTTTTTCTATACAAAATTGCGCATCCTTCTTCACAGTATCTGCATACACACTCTCATGCGAAAGGTCCCCGGTTCAAATCCCGGCAAGGCTACTTATCCGTGAATATTCTCCTA